TGGCGCGCGCGTGTGTGTGTGCGCGCATGTGTGTGTGTGCGCGCATGTGTGTGTGAGAGAGGGTGAGAGTGGGGGAGAGGTGGGAGCCCGGGAGGCGGGAGGCGGGGCAGGCACACAGCGACCGCCCCGACCGTGCTGGGTTGCTTGTGTTTAGGGAAGGGTCGAACAGCGGGCGCGTCAGCAGGGCTCCATAGCCATCTTTTCTTTCCTCTCGGGCCTGCTGCTCCCCCAACCAGCCAAGCAGCCGACCAGCCACACCCCCTCGTGCCTCCCCCCTCTTGCCTTCCCCACAGTTCTGGGATGCGTACTCGGTGTGGAGCCAGGTGGACGCGGCAGGGTACTGGCCGGAGGGCGCGGCTCTGCCGCCCGCTCTGCACGCCGTGCGGGCGGGCGGCGAGGCGCAGGCGGCGGCGGCGCACGCGCTGGGCGGCTGCCTCAGCCACCTGCGCTGCGTGCTGCTGGACAAGCAGGTGGGGCTCTTTGTGGGTGGGCGGGATGGAGGCAGTCCACGGCTGCTGGGGTTGCGCTGCTTCTGCTCCTGCTGGGTTGCGGCGGCTTTGGTCCGACCGTCGCGCTGGCAACTGTGGCGCTGGCGTGGCAGCTGACACGCCCCCCCTGCCGCCCTGCTGCCCCCCGCGCTGCGTGCAGGTGCTGGCTGCCGGCCGCGTGGAGCAGCTGGGGGAGACATTTGGCATCGGCGCCGGGCTGGCGGGCAGCGGCTGTGAGGCGGGCGGCGGTGGCCCCACACACATGGCCCTGGACGGCGCAGCCCTGGAAAACTTGGAGGTGTGCGGGTTGTGGCGCTGTGTAGCCGTGTGGCTGTGTGGCTGGGGCAGGGGAGTGCGGGCTGCCTCGCGGCGGACGGCCGGATGGCGGCAACCCTCGGCGCTTGCTGCGTGCCCCCTCAGCTTCCGCACCCTGCGGACTCGCCGCCCCTGCCTGGCAACCGCCACCGCCACCACACACACATGCACACATGCACAGTCGCGGCCATAGGCCGCACACACGCACATGTGTGTGACATAAACGCTGGCACGCCGCGCCGCGCCGCGCCCGCCTGCCCCGCCAGGTGCTGGAGAACTCGGAAGGGGGGCCTGAGGGCACGCTGCTGGCGGCGCTGGACAACTGCGTGACGCCCGCAGGGCGCCGCCGCCTGCGCCAGTGGCTGTGCCGCCCGCTGGCGCGCATCCCCGACATCCAGGCGCGGCAGGACGCGGTGGCGGAGCTAATGGGGAGCGCCGAGGAGGCGGCCGGCGCCGCGCGCGCGCTCTTCAAGGGTGCGCGCAGGCGGCCCGGCCGCGCGCCGGCCGGCGGCGGCTTGCTGCTGCCCCTGCCGGGGGCCGCGCAGCACGTGCTGCTGCTTGCTGCTGCCCCTGACGCCTGCGAACCAGGCAGCAGCTTGCTGAGACCCCGCCTCCCACCGCCTCCTTCCCCGCCCCGCGCCCTTTATCGCTATGCCCCTCCTGCCCGCGCCCTTTATCGCTACGCCCCTCCTGCCCGCGCCCCTCCCCTTGCCCCCCGCAGGCGTGGCGGACCTGGAGCGTGCGGTGGCGCGCATCACGGCGGCAGGGGCGGGGCTGGGGTCTGCGCGGGACGCGCCGCACGTCATCCTGTACGAAGATGTGGCCAGGAGGCGGGTCAAGGTGTGCGTGTGTGGTGTGTGTGTGCGTGCGTGCGTGTGTTTATGTGTGTGTGTTTATGTGTGTGTGCGCGCGTGTGTTTGTCTCGGGTGGTGCCGCTGTGCTGGTGGTTGCTCGTGGCGCTGGTGGCTGGTCGGCTGGGCTGCAAGGGCGGCTGCCGGCTGCCTGGGCAGCTCCGGGGCGACCTGAGCTGGGCGAGGGACTGTTGCAAGCGGCCGCACCGCGCGGGCTGCACCCGCGCCCGCCTCACCCGCCCGCCGCCGCCGCCGCCGCTGTGTGCAGGCGTATGCGGCGGCGCTCAAGGGGCTGCAGCAGATCCAGGACGCGGCCGCCGCCTTCCAGGGTGGGCACTCCGCCGCGCCCGCTGCGCTGTGCCGCGCTGTGCTTGCGCTGTGCTGCGAGCCGAGTTTCAGAGCTGAGCACTCTGGCGGCCTGAGCTGCGCCCCGCTGCCGCCGCCTGCTGCCTGCAGAGCTGGGCGACGGCATCAGCAGCAGCCTGCTGAGGCGCCTGGTCACGCCCGGCGAGGTGGGCAGGGGCATCGCGGACTGGGCTGGGCCTGCCCTTGCTCTCGGCCTGGTGCCGTGCAGCACACCATCACTGATGCCCCCATGCTGTCCCCAACAACCGGCACGCCGCCCTGAGCTCGCCGACCGCCCGCCTGCCTGCATCTTCTGCAGCTGTTCCCGGACATGGCGGCGGCGCTGGCTGAGATGCAGAGCGCCACCGACTGGGCGGAGGCGGAGGCCAGCGGGCGGGTGGAGCCCGCACGGGTGCGCACTCACGCCGCTGGCTCAATTGCAGGCGCCGCCGCTGCTGGCTCCATTGCAGGCGCCGCCGCTGCTGGCTCCACGGGAGCCGCCGGGCGGCGGCCGGCGGCGAAGCACGCTGTCGAGCTGCCGCGTTGCTGACACCTTCTTTTGTCCTGCTGCCGTGCTGTGCGTGCTGTGCGTGATGTGTGCGCTTTGGTGCAGGGCGTGGACGGCGCCTACGATGCCGCCCTGGATGCCATCGACGCGGCGCAGGCGGCGCTGCAGGCCCACCTGGCGGAGGCGCGGCGCGCGGTAGGGGCGGGGGTGCGGGTGC